ATCTATTGAGATGACCATGTGGTACTTGTTTTGAGTCCATTTATATGATTTATGACTTTTATTGACACATATATTGAACCATCCCTGAATCACTGAAATAAAGCTGACTTGTTCATGGTGGACAATCTTTTTGATGTGTGTCTGTATGTGGTTTGCAAGTATTTTGTTGAGAATTTTGGCATCTATGTTCATTAAGGATATGGGTCTATAATTTTCTTTTTTGGTTGTATCTTTACCTGGTTTGGGTATTACAGTGATGCTGGCTTCATAGAAAGAATTTGGAAGTACTCCCTCTGATTCTGTCTTTTTGAATAAATTAAATAGTATTTAATACAGATCTTATTTAAATGTCTGGTAGAATTCTGCTGTAAATCCATCTGGTCCTGGACTTTTTTTAGTTGGGAGGTTTTGTATTACTGTTTAATTTTCTTTGTGTTGTGGGTCTGTTTAACTGTTGATCACTTCTTTGTTTAGTTTTGGTGACTCCCATGATTTTAGATACCTGTCCATTTCTTTTAAGTTTTAAAATTTAGTAGCGTATAGGTTTTTAAAGTATTCCCTTATAATGTTCTGGATCTTTTTGGTGTCTGTTGTGATGTTTCCCTTTTCATCTCTGATTTTGTGGATTTGGATTTGCTCTTTCTTTCTTTTGATTAACTGGGCTAAGGGTCTGTCAATCTTGCTCATCTTTTCAAAGAACCAACTCTTGAATTCGTTGATTCTTTGTATTGTTTTCTTTGTTTCTATTTATTAATTTCTGCTCTGATTTTTGTTATTTCTTCTTGTCTTCTGGTGTTGGGTTTCATTTGTTGTTGCTTTTCAAGTGTCTTGAGTTGCAATGTTAAGTCATTTATTTATGTTCCTTCTGATTTTTTAATGTGGGCACTTAGAGCTAAGGACTGCTTTCAACTTGTCCAAGAGGTTTTGTTGTATTATATTGTCTTTTTCATTTAGTTCCAGGAATACTTTCATTTCTTTCTTAATTTTTCCTTTGATCAATTCATCATTCAAGAGTGTGTTGTTCAATCTCCATGTGTTCATGTAGTTACTAGGGTTTCTTCCAGTGTTGATTTTAAGCTTTATTGCATTGTGGTCTGATAGAATACATGGAATTATTTCAATCTTTTTGTATTTGTGGAGACTTGTTTTGTGCCCCAGTATGTGATTGATTTTGGAGAAAGTTCCATGGGACACTGAATAGAAAGTATATTCTTTGGTGCTTTGGTGGAACATTCAGTAGCTGTCTGTTAGGTCCATTTGATGTATGATATTGTTTAATTCAGATGTCTTGCTATTAATTCTGCCCTGTTGCTCTATCAAATGGAGACAATGGGGTATTGAAGTCCCCTACTATTACTGAGTTGGGGTTAATTTGTCTTAAAGTACTGTAGTACTGTTTTTATGGAGTTGGGTGCACAGGATTTTGGTGATTGTAGTATCTTCTAGTTCAATTGTTCTTTTGGTCAGAATGAAGTGGGCCTCTTCATCTCTTCTGATTAGTTTTAGTTTGAAGTCTATTTTGTCAGATACTGGAATTTCAACTCCTCCTTTTTTCTTGGTACCATTTGCTTGGAATATTTTTTTCCATCCTTTCACCTTAAGGTAGTGCTATCCTTGAAAATGAGATGGGTTTCTTGCAGACAACAAAAAAATGGGTTTTGTGTCTTAATCCATTCAAGTAGTCTGTGTCTTTTGACTGGGGAGTTCAGTCCATTGATATTTAAAGTTATTAATGAAGGAGGTGTATTGATTCCTGTCGTTTTGATTTCTGTTCACATTCTTGGTTAGCTGTGCATTTCCACAGTTATACCTTCATTAAGTTTCTTTGTGTTACCCCTTAGGCATAGTCGTTCCTTTCTTCTGCTCTTTGTATTGCTTCAAGAACTCTCTGAAGAGCTGGTTTTGTGGACACGAATTCTTTCAGCCTATTTATATCATGGAAAATTTTTCTTTCCCCTTCGACTGTAATAGACATTTTGGCTGGGTAAGTAATCTGGATTGGAATCTGTGGTCATTTAGAACTGGGAATACTTTGGTCTAGGCTCTTCTGGCTTTCAGTGTTTGCATTGAAAAGTCAGCTGTAATTCTGATGGGTTTTCCTTTATATGTGACTATTTTTTGCAGCTTTCAGTATTCTTTGTTCTATATGCTTAGTGTTTTAGTATGATGTACCATGGATAGCTTCTTTTCTGGTCCTGTCTATTGGTATTCTATGTGCTTCTTGTATTTGTACGGGCATGCCTTTCTTTAAATTGGGGAAATTTTCTTGTACAATCCTGTTGAAGATCTGGTCCATACCATTATCCTGAAATTTTATTCTTCCTCTATGCCTGTGATGCTTAAGTTTGGCTTTTTTATGGTGTCACACAACTCCTGCATATTCCATTCCTGCGTTTTCTTAAATTTTTCACAGTCTTTGCTTGAGTGGTATAATTTGTCCACTTTATCTTCCAGTCTTCATATTCTGTTTTTCGTTTCATTCAGCCTATTGGTGAGGCTTTCTCCTGTGGTTTCCAATTGCTTTTTGAGTGTTTCACCTCCTTCTTCATTACAGCCTGAGTATTCTTCAATATTTCTAACTCTTTTCTGAATTCATTCAGAAGTTTAGCAGTTTATCCCTACCTTCTTTCAGTTCTTTGATTTCTTTTTCTGTGTTCTTTAAATTCACTGAATTCTTTTAACATGTTTATAATTTGTTCTTTTGAATTCCATGTCTTGTGTTATCTCTAGGGGATTCTCATTGTACTCCTCTACAGGACTGTTGGTACTTGGTGGATATATATTATTTGGGTTTTTCATGGTTTTTTTTTTTGCTGTGGCTTTGACATGTGGATTTCTTTTGTAGTTTCTGATTCTTGTATGAGACTCAAGCTTCCCTTTGTTGAGTTTAAGTCTGCTTCTGTTTGTAAACTTTATGCGCCATTGTGGTGTACTTGTTGGGCTTAAAACGCTGGTTGGTCTAAGCTTCAGATTCTCTTTGGATTTTATATTGGAGGGGCCAGATAGCTTTCATGCTCCTCAGGAGTTCCCACGGAGGCCCATGTCTGATGAGGATCAGATGCTCTCAGGCTTCCTCCTAAGGTCTGGATGCCTCTGGTCAGGAGGCACAGAACAATTTGGGAGGCTTGCTAGGTAAAGGTAGGATTCAAGACTCTCAGGCAGGGAGAGAAGGATGCTGGTCTCAGGAATCCAGGGCAAGCAGGGAAGGAGTCTGGTCTCAGGAATCCCAGGAATGTTGTTGCATAGGGCAGCCAGGGATGAAGGCTGGTCTCAGTTGTACAAAGGTGAGTTGGGGGATGGACAGGATTTCAGGGCTCCAGGGGACTAGACTGCTGAGGAATTGGGTTGGTCTGGGTTCAAAGGATCAGGAAGCAGTGTGGAATTTGGGCCAAGAGGGTAGTCCAGAGGTCTGACATGCCAAGAGAAGAAATGTACCAGTGCCCATGCTAGGAGGGGAGCTGGGATGTGGTAGCTGGGAGGGTGGATGAGGTTGTGGGAGTCAAGGTGCAGTGGGCAGGTTCAAACTTACCCAGGAAGGATGCTGGCCTCAGGAATTCCAGGCAGGTTGTGGAATGGGACAGCCAGGGATGAAGCCTGGTCTCAGGGGTACAAATGTGAGGTGGGGAGGGGACAGGCTTTGAGGGCTCCAGGGGACTAGACTGAGAAATTGGTTTGGTCTGGGAGCAAAGGATCAGAAAGCAATGGGGAGTCTGGGTCAAGAGGGGAGTCCAGAGGTCTGTGGTGCCGTGAGAAGTAGGCCAGTGCCCACACTAGGAGGCAAGACAGGATGTGGGTTATATCAATCCTTTTTACACTGACTATTTTGCTTAGGGTTGGGAATAAGTCTTTCTCTGCCGTTAAATCGAGATGTTTTGCTTCTACATCTCCCAAAAATGTAGTGGTGTTGCTTTTGATATTTAGCTTTCAATTTCACTGTGATAATAAAGCACAATAATCTAATAAACACCAGCAAAATCTCAATAATGAAGGATCACAAATGGCTTTTCTACAGTGGACACTCACATGAAGCAATGTAGAGCACTTATTAGTAATTACAGAAATGAAAACCAAAATGCCAAAACGGTACAGCTCCCAGGACACATTGATATGATGAATTTTTTTAAGCTTGACAGTTCCACATACCAGTGATGGTGTGAAACAAGTTCTTATTATTTAGTTCTGATTCTGAGATCAAGCCTGAGATACATGCCCCACAATGTAACTGCCAACAAGATTAGGAAATAACTCTTATTTAATATATCAGCACCCAAAGCCACTGTAGAAAATTGTCACAGAGACACTTTTACACACATATGCTACAGACACCACTTTTTAAATAATATA